CATTGAAGCTATGGATTATTTGGGGACAATTTTTGGGTTCCTGAGCCTTTCAACCTATGAACAAGGTGTCTCTCCTGTTTATTTACTTATTTTCTCAGCAATGTTGGCAGTACTGGAGTTTGAACTCAGGGTCTTGTGCTTGCCAGGCAGGCACTCTACCACTTGACTCACACTCTCAGCCATTTTTGCTTTAGGTATTTTTCAAATAGGGGCTCACATTTATACCCAGGCTGGCTTGGACCATCGTTGGAGATAAAGTCAGTGGTGGTCCATTTTCAAGACAAAACAGTTAACCCTGAGTGGAAAACTACTAATAACTTGCATAGCCACCGTGAACATGACCAACCTGGAAAGTCACAAACAGGATTTGGGGAGGGGCCAACTGACAAGGAGGGGGGGTGAACTGAGAGGGGCAAACCATGATAATATGAGGAAATGGGTAAAAACTATGCACTTGTCAGAAAGCATTTATCACAGGGCTGTCTTCCCACCACAAAGGGAGGTGGAGACAACTAAAGTCTGCTTCTAAAATTTGACCAATCCCAAGAGAGGCATATTTTTAAACCCAATAGGAAATAAGAAAACTTATACACCCCATAGTATTCAGCCAATGAGGAGCTGGGGGAGGGACCCACGCTGTAGGGATAAAATGCCTATTGTAACGGCTCTGGGTGTGCCTGCAGGCCAGACACCTGAAGTCTTGCTCTTGCTGTGCTTTGTATCTCTGAGTCTGTTCTTGAGTTTGGGCAGGCGAGCCTATTTCTCACTGTGATCCTCCTATTTATGCTTCCTGTACAGCTAGGATGACATGTGCATGCCACAGTGCCCAGTTTTATTGAGATGGGGTCTTCAAAACTTTTTGGCTAAACTGGCCTTGAACCATGATCCTCCCAATCTCAACCTCCCAAGCAGCTGGAATTACCAGTGTAAGCCACTGCACCTGGCTGCACATTTCTCATTAAATTAATTCTTGGGTATTTTACAATTTTTGGATGTTACTATAAATGGTGTTCTAAACATTTTTATTTTCTAATTTATTTGTTGCTGGTATTTAATGCACAATTGATTTTTGTATATGAACTTTGTATCCTATGGCCTTGCTAAGTTGACTTACTTTAGTGTTTTTCATAGATTGGCATTTTTGCACTGACCCTCGCTCCACCTGCAAACAGTGAGCACCTCTTCCCTTCCTGCTGAGAAACCTTTCACCTCTCTCCTGCCTCGCCACACAGCTGTCCTGTGCCTCGCTCACCACCTAAGATCTGCAGCATCTGGTCTCTCATGGCGGGGAACGATGGCTGTGTGGCGTTCTTAAACAGCTTGCTGCAAACATGTCCGCCACGAGTGATAGTGGGGGTGCTGGTGGGCTCTCACCTCCTGTTCTGGAGGTGAGAAACCAACGAGCGTCTGCTTTCAAGGTGGTCACCTTCAAGTCCAACTGTGTGCTTGTCCTGTTTCTATGGCACTGGCTGTCTACTGTCTTTTGAACATTCCTCTAGTGTTACGTCATTATTCTAAATAGCAACTTTATGATTTCAAAGAACTTTAAGTCACCCCCTTTCTCTCCTGAGATAGGTGAAGCAGCCATGGTTTTGAGAGTCTGACAGTTGGGAAAAGTCAAGGCAGCAAGGTCCAAGGTGCCGGCCTCCTGAGGTTCGGCTACTGTCTGCAGGACCTGGCTAGCTGGGGGTAGCTACAGGAGGCGGTGCCCAGCTTCAGGCGCTATCAGGGCTCTGCTGTAGGTTAGGGTTAAACCTGAGGCCCGGGGACAGGCGTCCAGGGAAGTGGTAGAGGAGGGCACAGCCTAGTCAGCTCCACTGTTGAGACTCTGCTGCGCTGAGGGCCCTGTTCACCTGCCAGGTGGGGTGAGGAGGCCAGGGGCCTGTGCTCCTCCACTCACCAGTGCTGTGGGCTTCCGGGCTTCATGGGTGGGTAAGCAGCGTGGGCCCCTCACCAGGCTTCCTGCTACTCACAGCATTCCTCACTGACTGAGCAGGAGTCCCGGTGCCCCTGCCTGTGGTTGCTTGGCCTACGACTGAGACGGGGCAAGAGACGTGCTGCACACTGCCAACTTCAGGGGCCACACAGAGAACCCTGGGGTGAGAGACACACTAGGCAGCACCATCTGGACTCATAAAAAGGGAGACACAGCCTCCTAAACTGAGCTGGGAAGAGTCTCACCCCACCTCTGCAATGCTGGGCCTGTGGACCCCACTCCTGCCTGAGGTTCTCTCTGACTGGGGAGTGTTTGCTGCCGCCTAGGCATGAGGAGCTGGCTGCCTGTCCCATCCTCCGTCCCTGCGTTCGTGCTGGTAGGAGGGGGGTATTGGGTCATGTATTGTTCACATGGGGTCAGCTCTGCAGCTTGTTATGGCAGCTGGGGCTGAGGGAAAAGGAGTCATGTGTCACTGCTTTCTGGGCTCTCAGCTGGAATCCTGGCCAAGTGCATCACTCCAGCACTCCACACCAGCCCCTGCTTGTCCTACTGTGCACCCCAGACACCCGCTGTGGCCTCAGTCTTAGCTTTGATTTTCCCAAAATGAAGTCCTCACAGGAGCGTGGAGCGTCTGCATGTGCCAGCCTGTGCCTGTGGAGAGGTGTGTGTGTGTGTGTGAGGGGGAGAGGCTCCATTTCTCAAGACAAGGGTGCATTCAAAACCACCTGTGTCTGTAAGCCTCTTCCTTCTGTACTTGACACTTTCTAATGCTGGCCACATCTGTGCAGCCCTCGTGAAGCCAGTTCCTGGTGTTCTGGAAAGCAGGCATCAGACCAGGTTTCTGGAAACCTTTCCCCCCGCCCCTCAGGAGTGCTGGGGCCTCCCTGCTCCTCCATCAGGGCTGCTACCTCAAATATCAACTATCCCCTCACCCCCAGCCCACCCTGAGGGGCAGCTCCTGCAGCAATGCTGAGTTATGAGGGATAGGGCTGGAGGGAGCTTCGGTGGGGCCCCAAGGTTGTGGTTCTCCATGGCTGGTCTGTGTACAGGGTTGCCTGAGTACTCAGCTCTTCTCACCAAGACCCATGGGGGGGCAAAGACCTCTGCCATCTGACCTGTCTTTGTCCAGCTTTCCCTGTCCTGTTCACAGAGGGCCGCACTGTCCTATTCCCCACACTGTTTATGGGGTGGGCCCTCATGAGTTCCTGTGTGCCACAGGAAAGACAGACACCCTTAAGCTTTGCCTTCAGTCTGTGAGCATGGTGTGTGGATGCAGCCAACAGAGCCTGCAAACTATCTCAGATCCCCACTTTCAAGCTAACAATTCCCTTAGATTTGTTCTTTTTTTTTTTTACATGTGGGGACCCATAGGACATGTCCAAGTCTAGCTGGGCAGGTAGCAAGGGCCTTGCAGGGCTCCTGCAGGATTCCTGGGTGAGTGGATGGGCAGGACTGAGCAGGATAGCACTCTGCATGCCAGGACACACAGTAGTCCTGGGCCCACAGACGAGTGTGTGCATCCCTGCTGCCCACACCTGGAGAGTGACAGGGACACTGGGATCCCTACAATTCCTGAGGTGTGGGGCACAGCCTGGGCACCTCAATCTCCTGGGCAGTGTCCTGGGCTCAGGACTTGGGGTGGAGCTCCTTGTTCAGTGACGGGATGGCCAGTGCCCTTCCATGTACCACTGAGGGCCAAGTCCAGAAGGGCCAGGTGGCCATAGATTGGGGGAGGAACAGTGCTGGTCAGGATACCGTGAGTGTCCACACCTAGGGCCCCACATTCCCACAGGTGGCCACCTCACCCCATCCCCCCCTTTGGTTCTAACCAGCAAGATTTCTTGGTCATTGCTTCCTCTTAGTGCCCATCTGCCCTCCTGGCCACCTGTTCTGCTTCCCTCTTGATGAGTGAGGCTCTGGGACTCCTTGAATGGCAGCCAGGGCAAAGTGACCCCTACCCTGCCCAGGAATGGGCCTACAACCAAGCCCAGCACCTTTCTGGAAGAATGGCTGGGTTGCTAGCGAATTCCACTCCCAGTTTCTTTTAGATCCTTCAACCTGCTGGCCATCCCCACCAGGAAGGTCAGGGATGGTGCTCATTGCCCCTGTCACCCCAGCTTCCTGTCTCTGTTAACAGAACCTGGCTGGTGGAGAACAGTCTGGCAGAAGCAGGGAGTGGGGTAATTTCTGGGGGACGCAAGGGTGCCTAGGGGCCAGGGATCTTGCTGGGGGCACAGGCACGTGCAAACCACCGGTTCCACTGGAGCCCACAGACGCGGATAACCAAATGCGGGGGTAGGGTGGGGAGGCTGCTGTTGGCAGCGCCACTCGAGCCCACGCAACCCTGGGCTTTCATGCAGGCGGGGAGTGCACGTTTTTTTCTGGAGGCTAAAAACAGAGTTCCCAGACCTGTCGTCTGGCAACCAGCAACTCAGGTTCACAGGGGTCAGGGGCGGGCCCGGGGAGGGGCCTCGGCCCCACAGCTTGGGGTCATAGCGGGGGGCGGGGAGGGGCCTCAGTCCCAGGCTCGGTGGTCACCGCTGCGCTCGGGTCAGTCCAAGGCAGGTCCAGTGAGGCAGTCTTCCGGGCCAGCGCCAGGCCGGGTAGGGAGCTCCGGTAGAAGGCTCGTGGCAGGGCAGTCCGGGGGCTGCAGTCGGGGGTGGAGGGGAGGGAGTTGCGTGCAGAGGGGCGGGGTAGCGAGCACAGGTACGCACGGAAGCGGGCCGGGGACCGAGGGGATCATAGGTGGGTGGCAGGGGGCAGGAGTCGCATGGAAGAGGGCGGGGCAGCAGAGGGGACAGATCGGGGTGGGCATGGGGGGACGGAGGACAGAGGGCGCGGGCTGGTGGACACACCGATAAGGGCCGCGTGACATGGTCGCGACATCTGGAGAACGCGTGCGCGAATTCTACAGGACGTGGCCAGGCGCACGCCCCTCTCCTATGGAGACCTCCTCGCTCCGAGGCTACGGGCCCCTCCCCCGGGGCGTGGCCATATGGAATGGCCACGCCCTCCGCCAGCTGCGCATGCGCCCATCGCACAGCATTGTGGGCGCTGTAGTAATTTGCGCGGGACTCCGAGCGCGGCCTCCCGCCGAGCCAGGTACCCGCCGGTGGGACGCTGAGCGGGAAGCGCGGCTGGGTCGATGGGGATGGGGGTGGGGGTGGTGGCCGGGTGGGCCGTGGGGTGAGCGTGGGGGTGCTGTCCTGGGTCTTGGGGCACCGTGGGATGAGTAGGGGTCGCAGACTGGGTTCTGCGGAGTGTCGGGATCTCTGGGGTGAGTGTAGAGCACTGGTCGTGGTCTTTGGGGTTCCCGAAGGGCCGTGGAGTGAGTGGGGAACGCAGGCGGCAGCCGTGGTGTGAGTGGGGGACACTAGCTCAGGTCTGAGGGCTTCATGGGACGCCATAGGATGAATGAGGGGAGTGGGCAGGGGTCTGCGGAGACTCAGTGGTCCCTGGGTGAGTGTAGAGCAGGGTCTCATGCGCTGCACGAAGCGGCTCGGGCGCTAGCCGCAGGGTGGCGGGGCGCCCAGGTCACATGGTGGCGGAACCGCTGCAAGTGGAACTTACCACCCGGGCTGGCTGGTGGGTGCCGTGAGCACCACCTCCGCCCCCTCGTCCCGCTCGGGGTGGCGTCGAGGAGTCTGTGCCCTGCCGAGTGCCTTAACTAGCCAGAGGAACCACGTGCAGCTGGCCGGGCCATCTTCGAGCACGTGCTGCGGCGCTTGCGGAAGCCCCTCCCACGCTTGGACTGGGGCACCCTTCAACCCTATTGTTTTGCGCTGGAGTAGGTGCCAGGCAGCTCACCGAAACAACTTTCCCTTGGAGCTGCTCTTGGCACGGTTTCCTCAGAAAACGTGGGGTGTTTCCAGCCTGTATGGCTGCCTGCCGGTCTTTTCCTCAGTGGTCTCCCAGCATCTCTTCAACAACAAAGCACTTCCCAGGGGCCTTGTATGTCCCCACTTGAAAGCTTCCAGGGCGTCTGACTGGGGCCCAGGCACGTACCACTGTCTGCACAGGATTCCTCACTGTGTGAATGTGCCCAGCCCTATCCAGCCTGGCCTCAGGATACAGGTTAAAACCTAACCTGGCCTGAGGTCCAGAATGCTACAGGAAGCTTTTTTGCAGCTTCCCACAGTTAACATGAGATAAAAGTCTTTGGAGTGCCTGCCAGACCACCCTGTAAAGAAGTGGCCTCCTAAGCTTAGTGTGGTGGTGGTGGTGCATACTATCTGTAGTCCCAGCTCCTGGGAGGCTGAGGCAGGAGTATTGTGAGTTCGAAGTAGTTAGTGAGCCTCGATCTCAAAATAACAACGCAAAACAAAACAAAAATACAAACAACAGTCGGGCGCATGGCTCAAGCGGTAGATTGCTTGGCTAGCATGCTTAAAGCCCTGTTATCAATTTCCAGTACTGCAAAAAAAAATTTTTTTTGAAGCACCTCTCTGCCCTGGAGACAAGGGGAGCCCTCTGCAGCCCAGATGGACTTAGCAGAAGGCAGCTGTCTCTGGTCTGGTGGCGCTGCCAGGGCAGCCAAGGCCTTGTAACCAGATGCAGCTGCCTTTGTGTGCTGCCCACTGCTTTCATTCAGAGAGGCCTTGAACTTCAGGTGTTACCGTGAGCTGAGAAACTGGGTGTTTCTGGGTGTTTGGACCTGCAGCAGAGACAACCGCAGGGCTTCATTATGCGCAGAAGCAACAGATTCAGTCACCACTCCAGTAGGGGAGGGTGCTTTTCCCTTTCTATTTTTAATGGCAGGTGTTCTAAAAATGTGAGGAACCTTCCTAGCTTAAAACAAAATGAAGATGCTGTTTGCTTTTGTTTTGATCCTAGGGTGCTGGGGGAAGAGAATGGGAAACAGTAGATACTTTACATTCCCCTCAGGAATAACCAAAAAGGATAATGCAGAACTTCCCATCGCCTCCTGGCTGACAGGGACTCCTTTCATTTGCTTGGAAGAGGCTGGATGTTGTATGGGCTGGACTGGGATCAGTGCATGTTGAGTCCAGGCCCAGCCCTGCTGTGAGCTTTATTGTTTCTGTGGCTGTGAGCACCTGATGGGGACACCCCATCTTTCCTTTTGGAGTGGGGCTGTTAGACAGCTGCTCCATGTTAGGAAATGCACTCTGGGACTCTGTTGTAAAGTGGGGAAGGGGGCTTTGAATCTTGGCTGGATTGGGTGACGGGAGTGATGTGGTTGTCTCAGGTGGAACAGAATAGACTAGCAAGGAAAACTGTACTGTTGGAACCCCACCCTTATAGTTGAGATCCTTGCTGATCCAGGAGGAGTCAGGGCTAGGGAGGGGCTGCCTGGAAACAACCTGATGTGCCCTGCCCTAGGTGGCACAGACTGTGCGTGTAGACACGAGTTTGGACCCGTGGTGCTTAATGTTTTTTTTCCACCAGGGCCAGTATTAATTATATTTAAAATAAGACTCTGGACTTTTGGCCTCATCCTCTGTGGCAACCAGTGTCCCTGGACAGTGCTGTGTTCTTCCCCTGGCGTATGGCCTGCCCCAGCTCCCCTCTCAGTGACACTGTCCTCTGGCCCAATAGGTGCTGGAGTTGGCAACCCCAGACCTGTTCTAGAAGTTTTTGGGCTCTCTCACAGTTCATTTGGTGCCCCTGCAGTGAAATTGAGGCACAGGGAGGGTGGCCAGGGTGTTCCCCCACCCAGGAAGTGGGAGTGGCCTTGCACTGATGGGAAGGAAGGCTTTACAACACTTTAGCAGGATGAAAGTGGCTGTCTAGAGGGCCCTGGGGTCTGGCAGCTTCTTGCGTCTTCATCATTTCCTGTGGTTGTCCTGGATGTTTCTGCCTGGCGTGAGGGTCACTGGGCCAGTGGTAGAAGTAAATGTCCTTTTAGGACAGACAAACCACCTTTGTTTAGAGATGGGCAGCAGCTCCTGGCTCACATCAGAGAGGAGCCAGGGGCAGGGGGCAGGGCTGGAGCCTGAGTTCCTGAGGGCATATGCCTGGCACTCCTATAGGACCCGTGCCAGGAAGCTGGTCCCCAGGCAGCCGGGCTTCTCTGCCGAGCAGGTGTTTAGCTGGGCCAGATGGAAGGCACATGCCAGGTAGGGGAGATGTGCCAGCTAACAGACTGTAGACTTGGAGCATGGTCCTGGAGGAGGGAGAGATACATGTCACAGGGCCCACCCTATGGGGACATGCCTGGCCCCTCAGCAATTGTGGTCCAAGAACAGGTGGCCTGGGGCGCCTCAGGCCACCCTCCTGAGCCTCCTCAGCAGGATTTCAGAGCTCCTACTGTGATGTGACAGTGTCCCCAAATGGCAGGGAGGGGGCTAAAGCAGTAACCTTGAGCAGCTCTGAGTGTGGGCTGGATGGATGGGCAGAGCTTGCAGGAAGTTGTCTCAGGAGGCAGCTTTGGGGTGCTTTTAAACAGGTCCTTCAGCCAGCCCAGTTCTCTCTAGGCCACTTGTACGGGGCTGTCTGCTGGGCTGGGGTCTTGCATGTTGACTTCAGGAAAGTGAGTCTCCACTTCTGCATCATAGTGGATAAGCTGAATGTCCACTTCCTGGGCTCTTAGTGCAGTAGTCAGGGTGGGGTGGCTTTGCCAGTTCTGGTGACCCTGGATATTCATGCCATAGTCACACTCTAGGAGTGGCCTACCTGTGGGACATATTGAAGGACAGAGTTTTGCACTGTACCCTAGAGTTCAGACAGACTTGAGGGAAGTCCCTAGCGAGCTCTCCCTGCAGGTGGAGATGCACAGCTCCAGGGTTTCAGAAGCCTCAGGACTCTGAGACGTGGAAGTGAAACTGAGTGTGCCTTTTACTGGCATCCAAGAATTTCTGGATTCTGAGCGACACCAAGTGAAGAATCTTCTGTTGCTGCTGGGAATGGCACCTTTTAAACAGGGACAAGTTCCAGGGATTCCTAAGCTCAGTACCCTGGACCTGGTCAAGCTCTTGACTGCCCACTTAGGTGGGCTGATTTAGTTGTCAGGTGCAGTTGTTATGGACCCCTGTTTAACCTGGAAATCCCAGAATTGGGGGCCCTGCTCTGGTGTGATCAGCTCTGCCTGTGGCCCTGGCCTCTCTAGCATGGGTTGCTGTCGAGGGCTGTGCCTCCCTAGCTCTCAGCCTTTCTCAACTATTTCCACAGCTCCTGGGGAGGTTTGGAAAAGCAAGGCCAAGCAAAACAAGCCTCAGAGTTTGTCCAGCTGCAGTAGCATGGCTGAATGCCTGTCTTGGGTAGTTTGGGGCGGGGCTACTTAGACCCCCTGCCTGGCTGCTTGTTTCAGTTCTGTCTGTGAGAATGTGGGTCCTCTCCCAGGCCTTGTAACTTCCGGGGTCACTGCTGCCTCACATTGTCCCAGCATCTTCCTACTTACCACCCACTCTGAAACACTCCAGAGTTCTGATAGCTGTTTGAGTGCTAGCCCTCCCTCCTTACAGCCCCCACAAACAAGCCCACCAGCCTCTGCTTCTTTAGGGGTCCTGTTGTTATCCTGCTTTCTCCCTTGTCAACTAGACACGTTGAGACTGGAGGATGGATGGAGGCCTGGACAGTCCTGACAGCTGCATGCTTTGTCCACGCAAGTCCAGGGGGAGTCTGTAGGCTTCTGCAGGCCACCGTGTTTTCATGTGGGAGTGGGGAGGGTTAGGGGACACTTCGCCAGCTTGAGGTGATAGCCTAGAGTCCATAAACCTGAAATCTGAGCTCCCAGAGCTTGTCTCACATCCAGAGAACTTCCCTAGCCCCTTGCTCCGTGGGCGGGGAGGACCCTCGCCAAGACCGGGCCCTGTGCAGATATCTCCCTGAATCAGCTGTGGTGGGGAGCCCAGTTGCCCACCCACCTGAGCTGGAGCAGAATGGGCAGCCTCAACATGTTCAGTCCTACCTGTCTCCCTGTGGCTGTTCACGCTGCCCTCTGCTCCCAGCACGTCCCAGAATGGATGGCCTCTACACCAGGCCCAGCCTCTGGCCCACCGCCGGGGAGTAGCGGGCCAGGTCTGGTTGTCCCAGGGGTGGCTTAGCAGGTCTTTGCCTGGCTCACTTCTTAATGGTAGCTTGTGTTTTGGCTCACAGCCTTACTTGGAAAGCCGGTAGCACGTGGCCTGTAGAGATATGGAAACTAAAATAAGCTGCATATGCCTTGTAATTGTGATAAGTGCATTCAGCTCCTGGCCTCTCTGTTTCAAGACAGCTAACAGTGCATGAGGTATGTTCCAAATGGATGGAACAGCTGTCCTGGACAGAATCAGGGAGATGAAGACACGGAACAGGACAGAGTTCTCACATGCACCCCAGCTGAGCACCCAAAGTACGAGGACAGCCTTGGGGGACAGCAGGCAGGACAGGCCCACCTGCAGTTGGACTCTGATTATTTGGGAGGGAGGCCTGGGGTGCTCTGTCTGAATTGTCAGATATACTTCCTAGCTCAGGCTTCTGGCTGCTTCTCTCTAGGGAGCCTCCTAGACACTGGGGTCCCTGAGCTCAGGTTTGGGCCTGTACTCTGACCTGTGACCATTCCCAGGCCTTGCTTCACTCGTGGTTGCCCTTGAACCCTGGAGGGTATCTGTCACCCATTGTCCCCCCCACTTGCTGCAGTGTCTTCCAGAGCTGAGTCCCCTGCTTATGTGAAGGGTCCACCCCAGAAGTTCTTAGCCTGTGGCTTGCCTAGGGGTACTCTTGGCATTCCAGCAAAGCCTGTTCCTCTTGTGCACTCTCTGATCACCTCATGTGCCACCAGGGCAGTAGCTTATAAGGGAAGTGCCTGGTACACTGACCACTGTGGACACTAGCCAGAGCCAGCTGTTCCCAAGACCCACAGGAAGGAGTGCCCAGCCTTGGCTACAATCTGCAAGTCCTTGAAATGAATCTGGTGTGCCCCAAATCTGAATTTCATCTAGTTAGTCAATCTGGCTTTAATTAACATTTAACTTAGCCCTATGTGGCTGGAAGCTTCTGTCTGTCTTGGAGACCCCTGAAAGTGGTGACAACCTGGTCTGGGGGTCTGGGCTCCAGGGACTCCAGGTGATTCTCAGGTTGGTGGTCCAGGTTGAAGACCCAGGTCTGAGGCTTATAGCCACCTCCAAGCTGATGTGTGATCCTACCGAATAGCCAGGAAGAGGCTATTCCCTTCAGGGAGGAAGAGGCTGCCTGTGGGTCTTTATCAAGTTGGTCTGACTCTCAGCTCTTCCTTTCAGGTGGAGTGTCTGTCACCTTCCATCCTTTGGAGGGTCACCTGAGAGCCTGGCTAGCATGGTGCCCTCTGGCCAGGCAGTGGAGAAGCAGGTATCTGAGGATCCTGGACCTGGTCGTGAGCTCCAGTCATGGCGGTGCCTGGTGTTCTTCCTATGCTTCTATGGCTTCATGGCGCAGATGCGGCCCGGGGAGAGCTTCATCACGCCCTATCTCCTGGGGTACAGTAAGAACTTCACGCAGGAGCAGGCATGTTGATGGGGCTGCTTGGGTGGGCAGGGGAGCAGCATTGTGGGGCTGAAGTGAGTGGCTGTGTGAGGTTACAGAGGTCCACAGGGGCCTGGGCTGAGCCCTGCACCCCACACCCTCTGCTGAGCACTGTCAGACGGAGGGCCGGCTTTGACTTCTTTACCAGATCAGGGAAGAAGTGCCATCGGACTCTGCAGACAGGGAGCTGGTGTCTGCTTTGGGATTTTGAAGGGAGAGTGTAGACAAGGGGTTGCTGGCCTCCCACTTGTGCCAGGAAGATTGTTTGCTGTCCTGGTGAGAAAGCCCATGTCTAGCCAGCCACCTCCACCCCTGCTGGGCACCTGCCTCCAGAAGGGATTTAGCAGCTGTTTGTATGAACAGGTTATTGGAATTTTCCTTTTGCTCAGCCATGGGGACAGAGGGTCTTACTGAAACCTTACTGATAACCTTATGCCAAGGCCATAGGTGAAGCAGTCTCTGGGGTGGTTTCTTCCTTTTACTTGCACTTCATGCTACATAAAACAGGGCAAAGGAAGGTGGAGGGTGTCCTTCTCCCCTCCCTCCCTCACTGATAGGCTGGACAACTTCTGTGCTCTTGGCTGATGACCACTGTCCACCATTGTTATCTATAGGAACAACAAGCACGTGAAGCTTCCATTAAAATAAAGTGAGAAAATTGTCACAAAAATGTTATAAATTATGCCTTCCTGACTTTTCATGTTACACATTAACTGATTAAAAAGTAAATTGCAGCTAGCCACGGTTGCTCACACCTGTAATCCCAGCTACTTGGGAGGCCGAGTTTGGTAGGATTGTGGTTTGAGGCAGGTCCAGGCAAAAAGTTAGTGAGATGACATCTCAGTTAATAAGCTGGGTTGGTGGTTCATGGGTAAGAGGACCATGGTCTGAGGCTGGCCCCAGGCAAAACGTGAGACCCTGCCTGAAAAAATAACTAGCAAAGAGAGCTGGAGGCTCAAGTGGTGGCACACCTGCTTAGCAAGCAGGAGGCCCTAAGTTCAAACCCCAGTATCTCTAAGGAAGAAAAAAAAAAAATTGCAGAGGTTAAGCCATTCCACCAGGTCTTGGATGTTATCAGGGGACAATGGTCACAGGCTCTGCTCTCCAGCCCCTAGGTTGAGTCCCCTAGCCTTAGCCTCTCTTGCTGTAGGGAAGGCCCCAGAAGCCAGGTCCTTGCTGGGCCTGTGTCCAGGAAGTTTGTATAAATGGTGTCTTACAACACATCTTTTAGAAGAGGCCTTCCTGCCCAGGTTCCTGGAGTTTGTCTGCATAAGCTGGACTTACTTAAGTCTTCTTACAGACTGAGCCACAGAGTAGTTCTCCATTGCTTACTGTGGGGTGACCAGGCACTGCCCATTCAGTCTGGAGCCACCTGAGGCTGGGGGGAGTGCTGGACAGTGCTAGGCTCAGTAGAATGGTGTTCTGTGTGAGAGCCATGGCTGCCTGACCTTTGTGGATACCCTCCCCCAGCGCCTTCCAAGTGGGACCCAGGTCACAGTCCAGTGAGAGTCTCCCTTCCATGTAGCTGCCAGTCCTGAGGGAAGTAGAGAGTAGCTGCAGAGGAGGGGCTGCAGGATTGTGGTGTTTTTTGGCTCCACACGACCTTGCACCTGGTAGGGAGCTATAGCGGGAGCTTAGAGTGAGACCCAGGATGACAGGAAAGGCCTCGACCTGCGGCCCAGCTCCTGGTTAGAAGAGTAAACGGGGAAGAGGGTCTAATCAGATAAGCATCTGAGGCTGCCTTTTCTAGGGAGTGTGGCCGGAGCCTTCCCTTCCACTGGGCCTCTCAGACTTGTGCCCTGACCGTGGAGGCTGGTGGTGTCGTGTGCAGCACAACCTTTCACTGTACTGACACACTCTGGCCTGCCCTTCTCACGTCAGCAGGCACCTGTCCTGACTGTCTCAGGACTGGGCCTGAGGCGAGAAGAAGTCTTGACAACACAGGATCTTTTTGATGTCCCCAGAAGGTTGTACCATAAACAGCTACAGATCCCTGTAGCTGGGGCCCCTGCTGAGGCTCAGGCCAAGACTATGTCAGTTATTCAGCCTCCTGGGGCCTGATCTGCACTGAGAATGGTTGGAATGTCCTGACGTGAGCAGGGTGGCACTGGAAGGATGTTCAATGCTTAGAATACTGGCCTTTGGGGTCAGCCTTGGATTCTGTGCAGTACAGGGTCCTGAGGAGCTACCTGGTCAGACAGCATTTGGGGTGGGGTCTACCCACAGCCTCTGTTGGAGCCCCAAGGGGTTGCATATGTTGATCCTCTGACCCAACAAGCCTGAGTCTGGGGTTCTGTTCACCAGCTGCCAGTGGCAGCTTACAGCCTGGCCCAGGAAGGCTCAGGCCTGGAGGAGGCAGGATGGCTTGGCACAGCCCCCACATACTGACCTGGGCTCTATCCTGGGGCCTCAGTTTTCCATCAGTGATGTAGGGTTAATCCTGGTGTCTGCTGGCCTCTTGGGATCCTTGTTCCCTGGGGTGGCTCATGGGTATGGCTGTGGAGTTGCTTGTGGCCAGGCCAAGTGGGAGTCAGTGCCCAGAGTCAGTGGGACCTGAGCCACACACAGCCTGTGGGACCCTAGGAGGGTCTAGCCAGAGATGCCTGGTCAAGGCCACCTGCTGAGACCCACCCAGGCCTCATCTACAAGTGTAGAGTGGCTCTCATGGCCATTCTGCAGAGAGAGGCCAGGACAGAGATCTGGGCTTCTCTTGGCATGGAGCCTTCTGCAGAGTGTGCCCAGGTGGCTTAAGGCAATTCCCTCCAGGCTTACCCAGATGACCTCTGCCTTGCAGGAGGTAGAACCCCCACTCTGTGCCTGGCTCTGTGTTTCCATGGAAAGATGTTTATGCACAGAGGACACAGGCAACAAGAGCCAGAGCCAGGCCCAGAATATTCACCAATGGGAGACCTTGAAGGCTGTGGAGTTCCGTTCCCACTGACAGTCTTTAGTTCTGCCTGTGGAGGTGGGGATGGGTGGGTTGATGGCCTTGTCTTCTCTTTCCCTGCCCTTCATGCCCACTTAATTCCCAGCGGCCAGTACAGGCTAGCTATAGGAGCTCTCAGCTACTTTATGTTCCCTGGGATAGAGACTTGCCCTAAAAACTTCTCTCTGGGGACAGGGTGAGTGTCTATGGTATCTGCTGACTTCCTGCCTTACTCTCCCTCTTCCCTCCTTTCTGACGTTCTCCTCGTGTGTGCCCACCCTGTGTAAGCTTCCCCTTGCACATTTTTGTTTGTCCCTTTCCTTTGAGGACTGAAGTGCCTTCTGTTGGGATGCCTACTAGCCACCACACTGTTTTCTACACTGTTAGATTTAAGATGGAATTAAACCAAATTTTGAGCCTAGTAAAAATAAGATAGTCTAGATTAACATGTAATTAATAATGGTTTTTGGGCTGGTGGAGTGGCTCAAGTGATAGAGCACCTGCCTAGCAAGTGTGATGCCCTGAGTTCAAATCCCAGTACCACCACCACCAAAAAAAGTTTTTTCCTGTGGTATTTGCAAATACTTCCTCACCTGACTGTGCCTGAAGTCCATAGTTACTTGGGCTGATTTACTCTGGGTTTCCAGGCTCCCCTGCATGCTGAGTAGGCTGAGGACATGGACAAGGTTGTCCCGGGGCGGGGTGGGGTGGGGTGGGGGGGGCGGTTACATGAATACCACAGTGGCTGCAAGGCAGTAAAAGGTGCTTGGCGCATAGCACAGTAGAGGTGACTGGAACAGGGCGGGCTCTGGGTCACTCTTGGGCGCTCACTCATCACTAACAGTGGGCACCTGCCTGTCCACAGGTGACCAACGAGATCACGCCAGTGCTGTCCTACTCGTACTTGGTGGTGCTGGTGCCGATGTTCCTGCTGACTGACTACCTGCGCTACAAGCCTGTGCTGGTGCTGCAGGGCCTAAGCTTTGTGTGTGTGTGGCTGCTGCTGCTGCTGGGCACCTCGGTGGTGCACATGCAGCTCATGGAGGTCTTCTACAGCATCACCATGGCCGCCCGCATTGCCTACTCCTCCTACATCTTCTCCCTGGTGCACCCCTCCCGCTATCAGCGCATGGCCAGCTACTCACGAGCTGCCGTGCTGCTGGGGGTCTTCACCAGCTCCGTGCTGGGCCAGCTGCTGGTCACTGTGGGCCGGGTGTCCTTCACCACTCTCAACTACATCTCCCTGGCCTTCCTCATCTTCAGCCTGGGCCTCGCTCTCTTCCTGAAGCGCCCCAAGCGCAGCCTCTTCTTCAACCGCAGCGACGCGACGGTGCGTGAGGCCTCGCCCAGCGAGCTGGACCAGATGCACCCGGATCCCGACCATCCGGAGCCTGGGAAGCTGGGACGCATGCTGGGCACCTGCAGGGACTCCTTCTTGGTGCGCATGCTGCGTGAGCTGAGGGATAGTGCGCGGCGGCCGCAGCTACGCCTCTGGTCCCTCTGGTGGGTTTTCAACTCGGCCGGCTACTACCTGATTGTGTACTACGTGCATATTTTGTGGAACGTGGTGCGTCACACCTCCGACAGCTCACGGGTCTACAACGGAGCAGCCGACGCCGCCTCCACACTGCTGAGTATGCTTGGGGCTGCCAGCTGCCCCTTCCCTGCCCCTACAGCAAGCCCGAACCCTCACCCCTCGCACCCCAGCCTGACCTCTGCCCCCCCCGCCCTGCCTCCTGCCTGGTCCCAGTGCAGAGGTTACTGACAGACTGACACCTTCTTCCTCAGGCGCCATCACATCCTTCTCTGCAGGCTTTATGAAGATCCGCTGGGCCCTGTGGTCGAAGCTGGTCATTGCAGGAGTCACGGCAGTGCAGGCCGGGCTGGTCTACCTCCTGTACAGCACTGATGAAATCTGGCTCTGCTACATGGCCTTTGTGCTCTTCCGGGGTGCCTACCAGTTCCTCGTGCCCATCGCCACGTGAGTGGGCCAGCATGGGTGGGGCTTCCAGAAGGTTCAGGAGGGAGCCCAAGGCATGTGAACATGCAGAACTGGACAGGTTTGTGGGAAGTGGACCTGGGTGGACGCCCTTGGTCTGGTCCAGGGCTCCGGCTGCCTGGGCTTCCGTCTGGTCCCACGTTAAGGTTGTGCAGGTACAGTGGATGACTTCCCTGCCCGGTTCTCTGTCCTAGACTTTCAGGTCCATCCTGGAACCCCCTACACTGCTCTGGCCTCACGGGCCACCTAGAACTGACCAGGTCCTCCTCACCTTCCCAGGCGCTCCTCATCCCTCACCACTCTCCTAAGGGTCGGCCCTGCTGCTGTCCTTGGCCTGCCTTCTTGCTCCTTCCCTGCTTGCTTGTTCTCTTGCTTGCTCTTTCAAGACCCTTTGGCTCCTCTCTGAAGTAGCCTGGGCATTCATACCAGATTGACCTCCAAATTCCACCAGGGTGCCCTTCTGCTCGTGAAGACCCCCACCCGGCCAGAGCAGGGAGCATGTCTGTGTGTGAGGGCGTACTTGGCTCGTACTCCCCCCCCCCACCACACGCACACACTCATATACCGCACAAGCACATTTATAATGTGTTATACCACACCGTGCAGCACACTCCACACTCCACACACGTTCACGTTGCACGCTGCTGCATATCACACGTGCACACACACCACATGGACACCACACTTGCACACCACGTGTGTGCACATATACCGAGTGCTCACATCACACACAGGCACCTGCCTGGCCTCCCCACTTCCCACTCATTGCAGGAAGGCTTTGGTTTCTTCTCATTCCCTACGGCTGCCGGACTTGGGCCTTCCAAGCCATCCTCTGGGTGTGTGCTGTCAGCCCATCTTTCCCTTCCTGTCGAGCTGAGCACACCCCTGGAGCCCCCTCCATGCCTCTTGCTTGGCTGCCCACCACCTGCGCTCCATTGTCCTCTGCATGGTAGGCCCCTCCCTCCCGGGGTAGAAAGCACTAGTTCAAACCCAATGTCCTCTCTCTCTTCTTCTGGCTACACTCCTGGGCTGTGGGGTTGCTCCCTGTGCTGTGGTCACCCTCTCCACGCTGGCCCCTGAAGGCCCCAAGATCCAGTCTTCCTTCAAGACTCCCGCCTTGCACATTGGCCATCACACCTGACCCCAGCCTCTAGAAGCTGTTCAAAGTAGTTCTGGAGTGGGCTCACCTTTCCTGACTTGCAGATATTTTGGAAGGGCTCTAGGGACTCCTGCCGGTGTGGCCTCCCCTCACTTCAGCCAGAAGGCTAGTACCTCAGTGCCCTTGCTCATTTTAAGAGTCAGATGTCCCTGGAAGAAGATGATGCCTCCAGGTGTGGAGGAGGACCATCCACTCCCAGGTCCTGGTGCTGTGCAGTCACAGCTGGCCTCATTGTGTCCCTGTTGCCATGTCACCAAGGGCAGGCCCAGTCCCTCTTGGCATTGACCAATCCCCAGGGGATGTCACGTAGAGACAACATGGATGAGTGCCCTTTGACTACATCTTCCTTTCCAAATTCCATGGTGGGCCTCAGATGGCTCCTACACGGGAAGGCCAGCTCAAGGGAAGCTGCTTTGAAAAGGGTTCAGCCAGCAGGTGTGTACCTGTGGAATAGTGGCCCCCAGCCCTGAGCCCCTGACCCGCAAGTCTTTTCCTAATTGCTTGAGACTGATACCAGCTATGCTGCTGGTGGTCACTTGTACCTTGTGACCCTTTCTGCTAGGACATTCCTTCTCTTTTGCCTTGCCTGCCCTTGAGTCTGGCACAGAGGCCATCATCTCTTGTATGTTGCAGTCACCTCCTGTGGCACTGGTTATTCTCTTAAAGGGTTCTTGAGTAGTCTTGTTTAATTTGAGTGAACTTCAAAGCATTTCATCCATTATTATTTATTTTTGGTGTACTGAGGTTTGAACTCAGAGCCTTTGTGCTTATTAGGCAGGTACTCTACCACGTGAGCCATGCCCCAAGCCCTCTTTGCTTTAGTTATTTTTCAAACAGGGTCTTTTTTTGCTTGGGCTGGCCTCAAACCACAGTCCTCCTAAACTCTGCCTCCTGGGTTGCTGGGATTGTAGGCACAAGGCACCCAGCTTGTCCAGTGGCAGTGAGCAGCACAGGCCTGAAGCACAGGGCTGTGTTTATCTAATCTGTCCTTTTCTTTGCGGAGGACCAGCCCCTGGAGGAATGCTTCTGCTAGGCAGGGCTGGGCTCTTGCTTACTGAGGAGGGTGGCTGGTGCTTTCCCGAGTGCCTTTTCCTTCCCTGTGATAAGCTCTTCATCCTTCACTTCTGTGCACGCCCCCAGGTTCCCAGGATGATGAGTTTCTGGGCATTTTGCAGGACACTCTCTGGGCATCTTCTCTTGCATCTGTGCTTCTTGGCACCGGTCCAAGAACTGTGTGGCGGATACAGTACCCAGGCAGCTGTGTGTTGGGTCCTGGGCGCTGCTCCTGTGTTTGGTCAGCAGTGCTGTTGGTGCTGTCTGGTGGGTGTGTGGCAGGAGAGGGGACTGGGATGGAGCTGTGCACACCATGGCAGGGCCATGCCCTGGGTGCATCTGTGTGGTCCTTCACCTCTTGGCTGCTGGGTGGGTTTGGGGTGCAGGTATGGCAGTCGGGGTTTTCCTTGGCTCTGGCTCTTGCTTCCTGTCCTCCCCAGTGAGCCTGCTCTCCCTGCCCAGTTTTCAGATCGCGTCGTCCCTGTCCAAAGAGCTGTGCGCCCTGGTCTTCGGGGTCAACACATTCTTCGCCACCATTCTCAAGACCTCCATCACACTCGTGGTCTCTGACAAGCGGGGCCTGGGCCTCCCAGTCCGCTTGCAGGTGAGCCTCTGTTTCAGACTTAACTCTTAGGGGAAGAAAGCCATCATTGGGTCCTGGCAGGGCCTGTTGGGGTCCACTCGGTGTGGGTCCTCCTTCAGGAGACTCAGATCTCAGATTGACTGCTGTTGGATGTGCACGAAGTAAGAAAGCCCAGAAGGGGCTTGCCTCTCCAGTGGGTGCTTAGTCATGGTGAGGATGGTCAGGCCTCTGTGCTTCAGCCTGTGCTGCTCACTGCCCAGTTTGTCCCTGACTTCATTTGGACTTGTGAGTTCAAGCCTCACAGGTGCCCCAGGACTCCGTAATTGGCCTGGGTGTTCTTACTTCTCATCCTCACCTGCCCTTGTATGTCCCAACGTTGGCCTGTGTCACTGGGTCTGTGTTGTCACAGCACCCCCTGCCCTTCGTCTCAACTCTTGTGGCCTTGAGCCTTGGTTGGATGACACTTTGTGTGCTTTCTGCAGGGAGGAGGGAGAATGACCGCTTGCTGTTGGCATTGTTCCCTTTTCTCACCCTAGGCAGGGGTTTCGTGCATCTAGACCCCTGACTGCTTTGTGATGGGGAACATTTGCACATTTTACTTCTCCCGTTCTAGTCAGGGCATGCTCTGAGTCAGGGAATTGACCAGGTGGCAGGCAAATGGACGGCCCCTAGCCTGAGGCTGGACAGTGCCCTCAGCCGCCTGGATGAAGCCTTTGCCTTCATCCAGCCCAGGAGGCCCTGAGCAGGAGGCCTGTGGGCTGGCATGCACCATGGTGAAGTGCTGACTCTCCGGGTCCCCAGTTGGCAGGTCTGGCTGGCCAGGAGGAAGGCACGGGTGGCATAGGTGTTCTAAATGCAGGAGCGACCATCTTTCTGGGAAACTTGCCAGTGGGGTCTAAAATTGCCTTTTAGAGGAGGATGCTGGAGACTTGCCTTTCATGGCTGGTCACCAGCCGTTGGGAACCCCTGACACATGCTCCCCACAGGCGGGACTGGGATGGTCAGGCTTCGCTTGGCCCGTTGAACGGTGGATCCACACTGAGCAGGGGTAGATGAACCTCTGTTGCCTGGCTGTATGAGAGTCTTGTGTTAACTCTGCAGTACCAGGTGGGTGGGGTTGGGCAGCAGGCCACATGGCCTGGGAGGGGCCCTTGCACCCTGCAAAGAAGCCCTCTCTTGTCTTTGGAGCCTCATCTTGTTTCCTGCTCCCAGACAGTGGTGGCTGCTAACATGGATGAGCACGGAGAGGCTGTCCAGAGGTGGATTTTGGCCTGTGGTTTCCTGGCTAATTAGCCAGACTAAAAAAGTACATTGAGTTTTTCTGCTTTATCTCCAGGTTAAAAAGTAACTGCAGGAGCCAGCATTTTGCTCATAAACAATTATGAGGGATGCAGAAGGAGAGGAATGCTGGCTTGTCACACTCCCTCTCCTGACTCATCCTGAGCAGGGAGGAGGACAGGAGTCTAGGTCAAGGGGTCAGAGCCAGAGACTGCCCGGAGTCAGGATGGAGCATTTTGCTCTAAAGCCAGCTTTGGTTTGCTTGTTTTTAAATTCACCTTCGTTTTTGGGTAACTACACTCACATGCAGTTTAAAAATGGTGTAGAGATTACATTCCCTGTGCCCAGTTCTCTCCTCACATCTCGCAGTTCAGTAGCAGGGCATAACTACCAGGGTGTCGGCTTTCAGTCAGACCCAGAACATTCCATCCCTGCAGGGAACCCTGGGGCCCTTTGTAGCCATGCCCACTGTGCTGCCTTTCGCCTTCCTTCCCAACCTGTCTGTACTCCACAGCATGGTCCTCCCAGGAAGGCTGTTGGGCACTTGTGCACGTGTGCCCTCCTGCCGCCAAGCAGTGTCCCCAGCCGTCACTGTGCCTCATTTAGCTGTTCACTTTGGAAGTGCTGTGGTTGTTTTCAGTCTTCGGATATGTAAAATACAGTAGCCACATTCTTTCACAGATTTTGTGTGGTGCAGGTTTTTCACTTCCCTGGAACGAGGGCCCAGAAACATGGCGGCCCACTCTCACCCCGAGGGCCATGTCACACTCCACCAGCAGGTGTGCCAGCCAGTTTCCTGTCTTAGCCGTTCTCACAGGTGGGCGGTGATACTTCATGGTGGCTTTAATTTGCATTTCCCTCATGGAGCATGCTGGACATCTCACCACTTGCTGGCTTTTTGCTGTTCATTACATCCTGGTTGGTGAAATGTTTCTTCAGCTGTTAGGCCTGTTTGGGATTATTTATTCTCGATACTAATCCTTTGTTGGCTGTATGTATCAGTGGCAAACATTTTCCTCCCCTCTAGCCTTCCTTCTCATATTCTTAATAATTTAGTTTTTCCTGGACGGACCATGCTCTGGTGTCAAGTCTTAAGAAGTTCTCACCAGGGAGTGACCCTAGGAGATCATCCTGCTTTATTTTCAGAAGGCTCCTAGCGTGACATGCAAGTCTGTGATCCGTCAGTTAGTGTGGTTCAGCGTTCACCTCTGGCCTGCCTGTGTCCCGTTGCCCAGTGTGGCTTGTTGAGACTTGCCTCCTCGTGGAATTGCTAGTGCACCTTTGGCAGACGCTCAGAGCTTCACTCTGCCCGGATTTCCACTAAAGCCACTTGCTCGGTGTGGAGCCTTACAATTAGTTTGAAATCAGGTAGGGTTTTTTTCAAAATTGTTTCTGCTCTTGTGGTTTCTTTGTTTTCCCTTACCCGGTTTAGGGTAATGTTATGGATTGCATCAAGCAGTGCGTGTGTTTTGGGGAAAGTGACATGTCAAGTCTTTCAGTCCATGAGCTAATTTACTTAGATCTTGGTTTCTGCCAGCGTGCACATGTTAAGTACTGTGCGTGTCTTCTTAGATTTGTATCTGTTTCATTTTTGGGGAGCAGTTGTAAAGGAAACTATATTTAAGATTTCGACGTCTGCATTCATGTGCCTCAGCTGCCATAACAACACCACAGATTGGGCGGCTTAAACGATAGAAGTTTATTTTCTTATAGTTGTGGAGGCTGGAATCGGGTTGGTTTCTCCCGAGGCCTCGCTCCTTGGCTTGCAGGTGGCCTTTGATCTCTGTATGTGGGTTTCCTTGTGTCTGTCTTCTTATCAGGACAACAGTCACACTGGGTTAGGGCTCTGCCCTTGTGACCTCATTTAACCTTGACTCCCTCCCTGTCTCCAAGTACAGTGACATTGGGTGTCAGGGCTTGAGTGTGTGAATTGGGGAAGGAACAGAGTTGGGTCTGTAACAGCACACGTGCTGTGGCTGGCGTGGAAATTCAGTCAGTATTTGTGTGCTTATTTTGTGTCAACCAGTCATGCTGTGTCATACTAGCTTACTTGTTAGTTCTAGATGGTTTTGGTTTTGCCCTTTTTCTAAAGATTTGTTGAGATTTTTCATGTCATCTGCAAATAAAGATGTTTCATTTCTTCCTTTCAGATCTGATACCTTTTATTTACTTTTTCTGCCTTACTGTACTAATTAGAATTTAATTGTTCCCTTTTTCTTCTTGCTTTAGGTTTACCCCCCTCAGGGTTTTGTGTTTTTTTTTTTTTTTAGTGGGACTGGGCAAAGCCTGCACTGCACTGCTTGAGCCACACCTCCAGTCCATTTTTGCTCTGGTTATTTTGGAGATGAGGTGTCTCAAACTGTTTTCCTGGGCTGGCCTTGAACCTGGATCCTCCTGATCTCAGCCTCCCAAGTAGCTGGGATTACAGGGTTTTTCCAGGTTCTTGAGATAAAAGCTTGTATTAGCGATTTGAGAGTTTTCCTCTTTTCTGGTGTATGCATTTCCTGCCGTAAATTTCCCTTGGTAATACTTAGTTGCAGCCCGCAAAGTTTAACACACTGTATTTTCATTCTCTTCCTTTCCATGTATGCTTTGATCTCCCTTGGGACTTTCTCTTTGACCCATGGTTATTTCAAAGCGTACTATTTAGTTTCCAAGTGTTTTGAGATTCTTCTGTTGTCTTTCTGTTATTTTTTGAGTCTATGGTGATTTAAAAAAAGCGGTACTATATAATTTTAATCCTTTTAACTTTGTTTGTGGTTGTTTTCTGATCCTAGATAGTGTCTGTTTTGGCCTGTGCACTGTAGCACCTGGGAAGAATATTGTTCTGCCATTGGTGGAGGTTCCACATGTGTCAGTCCGTCCTCCTGTCCTGAGGACTTCTGTCTGGTTTCCCTGTTGTCATGGAGAGGGCTGTTTGAAGTCTCCCAAGGATGACTGCAGATGTGCCTGCTTCTCCTTTCAGTTCTGTCATGTGTTTACTTCTCATGTTTGCAGCATGTGCAGTGGGGTGGGCGTGTGTCTTGCCAGACTGACCCTCATATCACCGTATGGGAAAAGGATGTGTGGGGAACAAGAGCTCAGTGGTATACTTCTGGCTTTACTTGCACAGCGAGCCTCCCTGCAAGGGTGTGGGGCAGGAGGGAAGGGGTGGAGGGCTGTGAGAGCCCTTTGGGCCAAGAGCACGCTGGCCTCCAGACCCGTCCTGGACCTCTGGCAAGTCTGGTCCCTCCCCATTAGACCTGGGGATGAGGTGGGGCTGGCCTGGCTCCTTTCAGTCATCTCTGCAGCCACTGAAGTGGGGCCTGGGTGCTATGAGGTCTTGGACTGCGGGCAGGGCCCAGGGAGAAGCCAGCTCCAGTCACCCTCTGTGCTGTCTTCCACCTGCTCTGTCCCGGGGGTGTTCTGGCACTCACAGATGTCCTGGAGCCCTCAGCCCCACAAAGCCAGCGCCTTGGGACTTACCTATGGTGGCCCCACACATGCAGGACATAACACCAGGGTTCTCTGGGGACTCTTGGAGCCCCCTTACTGGGCTGGCCAGGTTGTACGGGAAGGAGGGAGGGCAGTAGGTGCCATGGGACCTGCTCCTGGGCCTGGTCTGTGACCCTGAGAAGTACTCCGTGGCCACCTGGGAAACTGAAGGAGGGGAGTGCAGTCCTGAGCTGATTCCTGCCCAATGTCCATCCATGCCTCTCTGTTGCAGTTCCTCATCTACTTTGTGTACTTCGTGGTGCTGTCTGTGATCTACTTTGCGGGGGCCATGCTGGATGGCCTGCAGCACTGCCGGCGGGGCCGTCACCAGCCATTGCCCCTGGTGCAGGAACTGAAGAGCCCCTTAGAGGAGAAGACTGTGCAGGTGCTGAGTGGGCAGGACGGGGGCCTGGGTGACCTGCAGCTCTCAGCCCCACCACTGTCCCCAAGTGACAGCGCGGAGGACAGCATGGGGGCCTCCAAATCCGAGGCCAAGGCCTGACCATCCTGGCCTAGCCAAGTGGACAGATTCCTGACTTGGAAGCAGCCCCTCCTGTCGGCACTCCATCCTCACCCCCCTGAGCCCAATATCACAGGTGTGACATGTCCCAACCAGCACCATGTGAATCCCAGAGCTTGGACTGTGAACAGTAACCTGCGGGACCTTTCTGGTGCTTTGCAAGGACCCTCAGTGTGTCGCCAGGACCCATATACCTCAGGGACCACCTGCCTTAGTTTGTCCTGCTGGTAGCCTTTGAACACCTGTTTCTCAGCCTGCTTCACAATCCAGCAGTGACTGGAGCCTGCTGGTGACACTCAGGGCAGCTGCCTGGCTGAGGCCTGGACACCAGGCCACTGTGTGCCTGGGTTGCCTTTTGCTTGCCAAGAGCCCAGTGGTGGGGTCTCCTGTGTCCACCAAGCCTCTCTGTCCTCAGCCCCTTGGGAGGCTGGAGGCAAATCCTGTCTGAACCTGGGGACTGGTGGAGTAGCCCAGACACAAGCCAGGGCCCGCTGCTCTGGGCCCTCCAGGGCAGTGAGAATCCACCCCGGGCCCCTGGCTAAACTGTGACACTAAGCCGTCCTGGGTGGTTGCATGTTTGGGCGATGATTTTTTTTAACTGACATAAAATGAAGAACTGCATTTATTTGACCTCTGCTGTGTGAGAGGCTGTCTCTGGTGGCAGTCGTCTTGTCCCTATTAGATGGAGCAGTGGCTGTGGCATGTGGAGTGAGTTTTCCTTCCCTCCTGAGGCTCTGCCCCAGGGCCTTCAGTTCTTTCCTCCATTCCTGAAGTGGGTCAGTACTGACTTGAGGTCAAAATGGGGCAGCCTAGAGAGGACTGTGGACATGCTGGCCTTGGTGTGGGCAGGCCTTGCTTAGAGCCAAGAGCCCCACTGGAGTGGGCTGCCTTCCCGGGCTAGTGCTTTAGCAGTGCCTGAGAACCACTTGGGATACAAGACGGTCTACGATGTGAGTGCTTTCCTAGATAAACCACGAACCCCAGTGCACGAAGGCTGCAGTCGGTCAAGCCAGGACAGGGGTCCCAGTTGAACCAACGGGCAAATCAGGGCCTAGGTCCTCAGTGTCCCCCCAGCTCATGACCCTCTTTCATTGGGCAGCTGAGCAGTATCTTCCTGGCTGGCTGAGGGAATAGTTGGTGTGCAGAGACAGCTCAGCACAGAGACCAGAACAGAATTTCTGGCCGGGCACTGAAGTAGGCTGTGCCCGGGGATCCCCAAGGCCCACTTGGGTGAATGAATGTCTTGGGGGACTCTGAGCTAAGGAGGCCGCATGTGGGAGCTGGCCTGAGTCCCAACTGGTGATGGTCAGACAGGGTAGTGGCCCGGTATGCATCCAGACAGGCCCCATCACAGCTGCCCTGTGACCCTGCTGACGTGGGAGCATGACATGGCGAGTGGAGGTGCTGTCTGGCTTGTGATGCAGGCCACGTGAGGGAATGGAGTATGGCCACCCCGTGACCCTGCACTAGTCCAGTGCACAGTTCTCCACCTCATGACCCTCGGCAGCAGGGTGGGGCCCAGTTAGTTGCCAGCCAGGACATGGCAGCTGGGTAGTGAACATAGGTGCTAAGAGGGCATACTGTGTCTTGAAGTCAGCCCTTGAGCACTGGGGAGCAGGGGAGAGCCGAGAGGAAAACTGGATGCACACTGTGGCGTCCGTGCAGCTGCGTACACTTGTGTATATCTGCACACCTCTGTATGCCCATGCACACCTGTGCACATACATACAGGTGTGTCCATCCATGCCTGTACACACCTGTGCTCCCTCGGCAGGACTGCCAGCTGGGACGTGCAGGGACAGAGGCTCCCAGTGACTCAGCTGGATGATTGTGCCCTTCTCATGGAGGGAAGGCTGTCTACAAACCAAGTGTCTGTGTAAAAGGTCATTTTTATTGGTTCCTGTTTGAAATGACTTCACATCACAGTTACAGAACTAGTCCCACTGGTTTCGTCCCAGTCCTGATAACAGAGCCCGAGGCAGGCAAGTGCTGGCACTGTGGCTGTGGTCAGCCCAGCGTGTCCCTCTTGGCACCCTGGAGATGCTGCCAAGGCTGGACTTCGAAGCAGAAAGGACTGGGTATGGGACTGGGGGCGGTGCTGCCACAGCACAAATCTTGTACCTTGCTTTGGACATGATCTCATGGGTCACCTGGGAGGCCAGTCTGAGAAAGGCCTGAAGATGGGCCCCACATATCATCAGGGCTGGCTCCAGGGAAAAGCAGCAGTCATGCTCCTACTTCCTGTGCACAGCATTGGGGGACAGGGTCAGGCATGAGGTTGGCAGTGGGTGCTGACTTGGAAAGCTCTAGCCAGAGGTGCTGTGGTTGCCGTAGGGTGGCAGGACACTGGGAGAGGTGGCCCCCATTGCCCAGTGGGCCCTCACTGTTTTGGTGACCTCCTGGTAAGCACATGCCTGTGCTGTTAGCACGGCTTTTGGGTGGGGAGAGGAGGGTGGCCCAGTTGCCCTGCCCCCAGCACTTCCCTGTCTGTGGCTGGTCTGCAAGTGGTCTGGGGTTTGTGCACAGAAAGGCACCCGGCAGAACAGTTTGTGCCTGCCAGGGTGAGCGGTCCTTCCCAGCCCCAGGGGTCCTGAGAAACCTGCAGGCCATGGCAAGTGCTGGTCTCAGGCAGTGAGCCCTGAACTGGCCTCTTGCTGAAATCCAGCTGGGGTCCGAGTCAGGCATGAAGGAAGTGCCTGTGACACAGGCTGGCCAGGGTAGGCAGGAGGGGAGGACAGGAAGTCTTGGCATCAGGCTTTTCTGCTTTAAACTTTTTAAAAAATATACTCTTTGGCTTCCTTTTATTTCTTGAGGGTTACATGAAATGTGAACTATACAGGAAAGGATCCCAGCCAGGTCCCAGAGGCTGGTCAGACACTCCCTGCCCTGTGCCTATCCTCTCGGCCACCTCTCCGTGCACCGTCTCAGCCGGTAGAGGCCCTACTTGGAGGAGGAGGTCATGAAGCTGTTCTCAATACAGAGGACGATGTAGGAGTTGTGGCAGCTTGCGGCTTTCTGCTCCAGCAGCCTGCCTGTCAGCAATGAGGAGGCCTGGCCTGTGGCTGAGGCAGCCTCCGTCCGCCATGTCTCACAGTAGCTCTCGGTCAGCCTGCGTCCACTGGGGTCTGAGCCATGCCACACACTCTTCTGGGGCCTGCAACACACATGGGCTGTTAGCCACCTCCAGGCCTGCCCCTCTTGGGGTGGAAGTCAGTAGCTGGCCTTAGGGGGCAGTGGGAGGGTACAGAGGTCCTCCTGTGATTTGTAGAACACAGCTCCATGTCTGGGACTTGTCCTACTGCAGGGCTGGCCCTTCCCAGCTGGACAGACCTAACTCTTGGCACCCTTGCTTGATAAAGGTGGCCAGGTGTCATGGCTAGGAACAAATTCCATCTTCCAGAGCCCCAGCAGCTCAGTTCTTGCCAGAAGCTCACACCAGGGCCAGGAGGGTCCTGCGCCAGGATCTCCACACCACCTGAAGGTGCACTCATCCGAGTCACCCGGAGTGAGAGCGGGAGTGTTGGGGCAGCAGGCACCGCCCCAGCCAGTAGGTGGAGGGACATTGGGTGTGAAGCCACTCTGAGGACAGTGTGGCCATTTGTCAGCATTTCAAGCTGGAAATGCTGACGGTACTTTACGTGCAGGCGAATGTGGACAACATCCACTGTGGGTGAAAGGAGGCTTGGTGCCGAGAACGAGAAGTACATCATTCTTAAAAATGCCATAACCATTAGTTCTAAGTGCTCTGCCCTTCCCGGGGACCTACCAGGTGGGGTGCCTCAAGACGTCCTTGCCATCGAAAGAGAAGATGCGGGAACCGGGCTGCAGCTGGCCCTGGGAGCCTGAGAACAGGGCCTCCCAGCTCGGAAACAGCACCTCGTCCTGTGAGGGGAGATGGGGCTTCGTCAGTCTCTGGTCGTGTCTGGACAAAGGCACGAGTGCCAGGGAGGACCGAAATGAGCCACGCATTGGGCTGTTGTGTTGAGGCAGAGGGACCCTGGCCCAAAGGCTGGCTGGTCAGGGTAGGTGGGGCCTACAAGCCTCCTGCTCCCCTGTGTCCTCCCCCACGGGGACCCTAAGGTCTGCGAGTCATGGCCCTTGGTCCTGGGAAATGCTGGATTCCCAGCCCAAGCCAGGAGGAGGCACCATGCAGAGAGGTGGCAGCAGAGGGACCGACGGTGTTTCCCAATTCCAGCCCCTGTGAGGGCCTGCACTTGTGTGGATGCTCCTGTGGCCTCCTGGCCCTGCTTCACACGGTCAGCAGTGTAGGAGCCGCTGGAAACACGGGATGGACACCAGGACCCTGGGAGGTGGAAGGTGCAGGGACCGGGGGCTGTGTGGGAGACTTCGGGGTGTCCTGAGCCCTGCTGTGAACTCACACTGAGACACAGGCACATCTGAGGGCGCCTGTGGCCACTGTGCTCCACAGGTCAGGGCCACACACCTTGAGATTGACGATGGGCACAGCCCCGCGGTCAGCGCGGCGCACGATACTGTAGAGGTCCTGCAGCCGTGAGGACAGGAAGGCGCGGAAGGTGCCGGCCAGCCCCACGGCCCGCGCCTGCTGGAAGCACTGGAGGTCAGCTCCTCGGATACCACGCATGCCGCCCGGCAACGGGCTGTTGAGTGCGACTAGGTGGAGCTGCAGGAGAGGCCCTGCCATGTTACAAGCTGTGCCACATGGGACCCTCCAGCCCTGGGCACACTGCATGAACCCTGTACCCCTCAGCACCGTGCGGACAGGCCTGAGTGTGTGGGTCACCATGTGACAGGCATTGGGGACCTCAGTGACAGCTTGCAGCAGCCCTCCTCGGGCCTCTGGCCTAGCCCAACCCCCAGCCAGGGCAGCAGAGGCAGTCTTGGGCACTGTGGACCCAGGAAGCAGCCTTCATTGGCTTCCAAAGCCCTGTCCTGTGAGCATAGGTGGGATCGGCTTGGCCTGGTGGGTCCAGAGCAGTGGGCTGTCCCCAGCCTTCTCTGTAGGGCAGGGGTGCACAGGCTCTTGGCCCAGTGTTGTTCCCTCTGCTGTCTCAGGACTGCAAGACCGGGCAGGGACTGGCCCTGAGGTACTGACTTTGAGGATGGCCACTATGGATGACCCTGGCCAGTCAGAAGCCGACCCTCAGTCTTCTACAAAGGGATCCCTGCCTGTGAACTCTGGATTTCCCACCATCCCAAGAACTAGGGGCCAGGGGGACACATGTCTCCCATGGAGGGCACTCACCACTGGCTGGAAGTCCTGGTGGGTGTGGGCAGGAGAGCCCGTGGGGTGGGCCGGCCGGAGATGCACATAGGAACCATGGTGGTGTGGAGCCCCGGGGTAGGGCTGGGGGTTTGGCAGGCGTGGAGGGCCAGCCAGGATGTCGTCTGCCCTCCAGGGCCGCTCTGTGGAGTGGTAGTGTCCCCGCCGGGTGTAAGGGCTGCTCTCGTGCAGCTGCACCACTGGGGGCTGCAGGACGGTCACTTCATTGTCCTGCGAGAAGGGACGCATGCTTGTGGACAGGGCTCTGGCCCCGGATCCAGCGCCACGTGGGGCACCTCCTTCCTCTGCTCCCCTTCCTGCTCTTGGGCTTCAGGGAGGTCAGCAGGGGGCTGCACCCAGGCCCTGGGGGCACGCCAAGGGGTACAGGCAGGAATAGGGTGGGGGACCCTGACAGACCATGATGCCCGAATTGGTGGGACTGCCCTCTGTTCAGACACCCATGCTCAGAAGCCACGGTCCTCGCTGACATGTCCTCCCCACTCGTGGCTCCTTGCCACTGCTTTTAGACCAAGGCGCCAGGCATCAGCACGTCTCAGCTCCAAAGTCTTTGCTCTGCTATTCCTCAGGGAGGTCACCCTCACGCTGAATTCCGCCCCGTGCTGCCCCTCACCCCCAGCTCTTGACTTTCCCTACAGATTTATTCACACGTCGCCCCCACACAGTGGCACTCATCTACCTGTGTACCCACCCATCCACCTGTCCATCCACCCATTTACCTGTCCACCAGTCCACTCGCCCACTTGTTCATTCATCCACCCCCTACCTATCCATGCACCCATCCACTCACCTGTCTGTCTCGCCATCTACCTGTCTTCTCACCCAGTCTGTCGTCCATCAGTCCGCTCACTCCTCCTGCACACCCCCTTCCTCCAGCAGGGACCATCTCAAGTCACACACACTCAGGTCCAAATGTTCATCCAGAAACATGCAGTGCCAGTCCTCCTGCATCCCCCGTCCCTCCAAGCCTCTAACAGTTGTGCAAAGGGAAACGCTCCTTACCGTTCCACGTGGGAGCGGTGTCCGGGCCTCCAGCTGGAAGGCAAGGTAGGGATTACTCCAGCCCCATTGGCCAGGGTGCCCCACCACCTGTCACCCTTCCTCACACAGCCCTTCCCTCGGAATAGAGGGCCTGGAAGGCAGGACCAGGCTGCACCCCAGTGCCTCTGCAAGGTGCACTGTGGTAACAGGTCAGGTCTGCTGCCAACACTGTCGCCTCTCCCTAGCTGGATGGAGGGGATGACCATAAAAGCAGGGAGGGAGCAGAAGTTCAGCTCAACTGTAGCTCCTCCGAGTGGCACAAGCTCTCAAGGAAGCAGTGCGCTGCTTTAGGGCAGGTGCTGGCCTTTGGTGTCCTCAGATTTGCCACACACAGCGGTGCTCTCCCCAGGGGCCCAGAGGTCTTGGCTGGATCCTAGTCTGGATCTGAACAAGGCTGCCAGTGCCAGGGGAGGAGAGATGGCTGGCCTCATCTTCTTGGCCAAGGTTTTATGGTTGATGCAGGAGCCAGACCCAGGGGTCCAGGACCTGAGTCCCGGTGCCTGGCAGCCTCGAGGCGTCCAGAGGTTGCTCAATTCGTAGGTCTTTATAACACACCCAGCCCAGACCATGCTGTGGCTCCATGATGACATCGAGGTGAGCCCCGAGGCGTCATGCCATTGGGAGCCCTGTCCTCGTAAATGACCACGAGCTGCCTGGGGGCCCAGCACAGGGACCTGGAGCTGTGTGACACATTCGTTTACTGCCACACTAAAACTTCTAAAAAAGTGCTAATTTTTCAAAGAAGTTTAAAAACAAAAATACGCAGCTGTGCATGGTGGCTCTCTCACGCTACTTGAGAGGAGATCTGAAGGGTCCCGGTTCCTGGCCAGCCTTGGCAAAAAAGTTCTCAAGACCTCATCTCAACCAATAAAAAAGCTGGGTGCAGTGGTGTGCACCTGTTATCCCAGCTATGCCAGCCCACGCAGAAAGTGAGACCCTATCTCAAAAATAACCAATGCAAAAAAAAAAAAAGGGCTGGCAGAGTGGCTCAAGTAGTAAAACGCCTGCCTAGCAAGTGCAAGGTCCTGAGTTCAAACCCAGTACCGAGGGCTGGTCCTGGCCAGGGTGGGTGTGGGGCTTTTCACCTCCTCCAAAGCTCTGTGCCTTGTATCTCCCATGCCCCCCAAAGGTCACTCGAGAACTCACCAGGACCTTCCGGAACCCATTTCGGACTCGGACGTAGAGCTCTTCTCTCTCCACCACAAAGGTGAGCCAGCCCTCGGGCACCTCACGCACCTTGTCCAGCATGGTCTGATATGTGGCCCAGATCCTCACCTGCTGGAGTCCCAAGCCCAGCATGGGTCCTGCTGCCCCCAGATGAGTATCCAGGGCTCCCAGTGGACGGCAGGTGGGAGGGGCAGCAGAACCCTAGGTCCTGATCTGGATGTGGCCCTGGGGCTCTGGTTTGGACATTCTGAGGTGCTAGGCGGGGAGAGTGGACTAGGGAGAGGCATGGACTTAGGTGGGCCCTCTGCCTTGTCTGGCTGCCCCCAGGACCGGGTAGAGGAGGCCACAGGTGACGTGAGTACCATAGGGACCTCCAGTCTCTTGGCCACCAGCTTCTGTACCCAGTGCACAGCTGTGAGGAGCTTCCTAAGAGGGCAGCTGCCTCCTTGGATCCATCCCAGAGTCGCTCAACTGGATGCTTACCCCTGAGGAGGTGCCCATGGCTCCAGGGGGTCCTGGGGGTCCAGGCGGGCCTGGGGGGCCAGGAATGCTGACAGCTGCAAGACAGAAACCAAAGTAGGAGCCCCTGGTCACACAGGCAGCCCACAGGGCAGAACTGGACATAGCTCTGCCCAGGACCCCCCCTTCCTGCAGGCTCACTCTGCCTGTGAGGTCCGGGGAACGAGGGGGGCCCTGGTGGGCCTGGAGGCCCAGGGGGGCCCTGGCGCCCCTCATAGCCAATGCCAGGAGGTCCTTGAGGTCCAGGAGGTCCAGGCTGGCCTCGGATGCTCTCTCCCTTTGGACCCTAGGGACAAGAAGAAATGGCTCATTGTACCTGGTGCACCTCAAGCTGGGCACATCTGCCCAGAGCTCCTGAGGTGGGAGTGGCTTCTGAGCCACTGGTCACACCTTGCCACCCTTTGCCAGTGCTGTGGTCAGAGGACATAGAAGAGCAGCCCCCAACACGGGGAAGTGGCCCCAGGACTCCCCAGTGCCCAAGGCGGAGCTGAGAGGCCTCCGTTCATACGTGGGCTGACAGCTCGGGGGTGGGTCAGTCCTGATCAGAGTGGGGGTCAGTGGCCTGGCAGTCACAAGAGGGCAGCCACGAGATATGAGTGAGGGTCCCTGGGTCCATGTGCCTCACAGATTGGGGCAAATAAAAGTGGAGGCCCAGGCCACTGAGCTCACAGGGTACAGCCTGAGCCCTGGTGGGTTTCCCTGGCCCTGGACTCTGCATCAGCCTGGACTGTGTGGACACCTGCAGCTGTCCCAGGGCCCAGGCTTACCGGAATCCCAGGGTATCCTGGTGGGCCAGGGGGCCCAGGCACGCTTGAACCGAAGAAGCCAGTGCTGGGTCCGGGCTCACCCCTGTCGCCTTTCTGTCCGGTGTTCCCTCGGTCTCCCTTCTCTCCCTGTGGGTGGGAATGCTTGTCTTAGAAAGCTCTGTGCGCGCTGCCTGATTGGGGTTGGAGGGCAGCGGGCACTGACCCCACAAGCCACAGAGGCCTGCACACCCTGAGTGTTCACCCTGCGGGACCTGGCTCTGCTGCCTTGGCCCAGTCCCTAAAACACTGGCCAGGAACTGTGCGTGTCCCCAGGACGCCCCTCTGGGGCCAACGACCCTCATGGGGATGAGCAGAGAAAAGGCGGCTCTGCCCAGCAGCGTCCTCTGGACTCAGCGGTTCCTGGGGGACCTCCACCCCCCAACCCGACCAGTCACCTTGCTCACCTTCATTTCAGCTCCCAAGTGAAGGAGGTCAAAGGGAAACTGCCCTGCGGGAGATTGAGGATGGAAACTGGAAACGCATTGAAACAATGGGATAATACCAAATTTACAGCCTGTTCCAGGCAGGCCTCCTGCATTTCGCCCAGAACTTTTTGTATTTCTCTGTGTAAAGACTGCACACTTCATTAAATTTACTCCTAGTTCATTGATAATTTTTGGTGTTTCTCTTAATGGTGTCTTTTCAATATTCAGTTTTGGTTATGATGTCATTGACTTTTTCTTTTCTTTTTGACTGTACTGGGGTTTGAACTCAGGGCCTCATGCTTGCTAGGCAGGCACTCGACCACTTGAGTCACACCTCCAGGTAGTTTTTGCCCAGGGGCTGATCTCAGACTTTGATACTCCTATGCCTCCCACCTAGCTGGGATTAAAGCATGCGCCACTGCGCCTGGCTTGTTTGCTGAGAGAGGATCCTACTAACTCTTTACTTGGGCTGGCCTGGAACTGCCATCTTGAATAGCTGGATTATTACAGACGTGAAGCACTGCACCCAGCCCACATTTTTCTAAACTGGTCTTTTTGTCCTGTGACTTGGGCAGGGCGCTTTACTAATTTTGACCGTTGACCTGCGGGTCCCTTTAGGCAGGTGTTCTGCAGAGCAGCCTCACCCGCCTTGCTCTGTCCCCAAGGCCCTCTGCACCCAGCTGAGGACAGGTGCGCATGGAGGGTCCACACAGCCACGGCACAGAGCAGCCCTTCTTGAAGCCACCCTTGCCGCTTCTCTGTTGGTCACTCGGCAGAGGCGTCTGGTGTTGCTCTTCTCTTCAAGGAGCTCACTTTGAACTTGGGTCCTTCCTAGTTCATATGTAAAATAGAATTTTTCTTCATTGCTTTCTGATCTCTTGGGTTCTCATCTAACTTCAAGAGAAACTTTGTTTTCTTCTAACACTGAGCTGAAGGCTTAAGGCTTAGACACACTGTTTAGACTTAGGCTGTAGTTTTGTGATCAAAGGTTTACCGAAGTGTGCCCTGGGGTCACTTCTCCCTTACTGTTCCCTGGGAGGCCACCTGCCTGGCTGTTACCTAAGAAGGTCCTAAGCAGGTGACTCCTTGCTCCAGAGGCCAGCCACCTCCCAGCTGTCACTTAGGGCTAGATTGCCAGTGTGAGCTAGAGGACCCGAGCTCTGGGCTCTGTTGGGCCATCACCAGTGACCTCAGGGGTGAGTGAGAGCTCAGAGCACCCGGTGAGCCAGGCTCCCGCGAGGCACCTGCTGCACACTCACTGCTTGTGCCAGGCTGTGTCGTCCTATCTGCTTCCCCGTGTCCATTGTTTCTCCTTTGACACACAAGTCACCTGTGGACAGTCCTGGCACACTGGAGCTGGCTGACCGCCTGCTTCTGCTGTACCTCAGAACCACAATTCCTGAAAGTGCCAGGCCCGTGGGCACAGGACTGATCCCTGGTGCCGGGCTTGTGGTGCAGGACATCCTGGTCACAAACTGTTGCTCTGCTGCTCTGCGTGCACTGCTGTCTCCTGGGATGAAATTCCCATTGTGTTTTTCTGTCCAGTTTCTTGTCTCCCGAGGCCATGTGCACCGGAATGCAGAATTACTGGCTTGTCCTGGCGGACAGGCTTTCATCACCACCAGTGCCTCTTCTCCATTGCCTTAAGACACACTTGGTCTAAACACGGGCATGGCACTCACGTGCACACATGCACTCACACCATCTGGGCCTCTCCATCTGCTCCCTCTGGCCTGTCCTCATCCTCAGGGAAGGGTCTCCCTGGGCAGTGCAATTGCTCTGATCCCACCGACAGTGTCCGTCTGCCGACAGAAGCAGGCATCTGCTCATACCTGACCCACCGCTGACAGATGAGGGCTTTCATTCGTCATGCTCCTACTTGTGCATATTCTACCCAGCTTCTTCCTTTCTCTCTCCCTGCTTGCCTTCTTTTGGGAGGAGTTTTATTCTTTGTTTTCTGTGTGCCATTCTCCTTTCCATCAGATTTCCAGCTACACATTCTTCTGTTTTTGGCTTTCTCTTGAGGCTGTGATCTGTGCCTCTCACGTCAGAGCTGAGTATCAGCCAGGGCTGTGCTCCCCGAGAGCTTCGGATGTGGGGGTCCCTGACTTCACTGTCCAGTGCAGCTGGGCCCTTCCCCTTCCTGCGGCATTGACCATTCTCCTGGCCCCCTTCCTGGGCACCACTCCCTTCTCCCCCGACAGTCCCGCCTGGCCTGTTAGGTCAGGGGCTGGGTGCAGCCAATGTCGCCATCGTTGTGAAGGGTGTTTTCACTGACTGGAGCTGCTAGCACGAGCCTCCCTCTGATTTTTTGAAACCTGGTGTTGCCTCCTGGCCTCGCTGTTTTTTGCCAGTTTTCTTGTTGATCTTTGAATGTGGGGAGCTCTCAGAACCTTTCCAGGGGTTTGGAAAACTCTAGGCCTTCTGTCTTCAAACCATGCTTCTTTGTTTCCCCAGTGACAGTCACGCTGGGCCGTCACTGTGTCTTCTTGTCTTCCTCCCGTTCACTCGCTCGCTCCTGTCTTCAGTGGTTCTCGTCGGCCTCTGTGCACACAGCTCTCAGTTCTGCCTGCTGTTTTCAGTCCCACAATTAACTCCACTCTGCTCTCTGCTGAGCCTCCATCTTTTCTTTAGGTCTTGGATGTGGTGCTCAGAGTTGGGGCCCAGGTCTGGTGAGTAACCCCCAGGGGTCTGTGCTGTCTGGCCTTCCCTCCCAACCTTGGCTCAGTTCTGGATGATTTGGCCTTCTTCCGCCCTCCAGTCCCAGGCTCTGTGTGCAGATGGTGGCGAGAACGGAGGCTCCACCGTCCTGTCAGCTCCTCAGCTAGAATGCAGCAATGCCTGGGTGACACTTTTGGTGCTGTCCTGGTCTTCCTGTCTTCCATCTCCTACCACTTTCCTAGCTGGGGTTGGTGGGCATTGGTTAGACCCCAGCCAGGGGTCTCACTTCCGCTGGGAAGTATAGACAGGCTGGGACTCACCCCAGGATGACCTTGTCCATGGCTGGCCCTGGTGAGGCCTCCACACAGACGAACCTCTGTGCTGATCCTGGGCCTCCAGGGACCAACTGTGGGAGGGGAGGACAGCTGAGGACATCAATGTGCTGTGTCTGGGAGGTGTCCACTGGGATTAAGCCTTGGGCCATGGAGGAACAGCTGCCTTAGCAGGTAGGTGACGGGGACATAGCTTGGGCTACCTGTCCCTGCAATCCTAGGCCCTGCCTGGCCCTGAGGCTCAGGTGACTTTGTGTCCCCAGATCTAGCTCCTGTCTGGACTGCATGAGCTGGAGAAGGATTCCTCCCTCCAGAGGAGGTCAAGGCCAGATCCAGCATGCAGCTAGGTCCAGCATCTGCCCAAGAGCTCTGGGTGTCCAGTCTGTCAGGGCTGCATTCCACGGCCCCTCAGCCTGGGACACGCAGGGTGCACTCACCTGGTGGTCCTGGTGGGCCCACTTCTCCTTTATCGCCCTTTGGTCCAGATGGCCCCTGCACCCCTGGAGGGAGAGAGATCTGGTTCCATCAGGGAAACCCAGGAAGGGCCCCTCCCACCCAAGCATGCTTCTGACCTCAGGCACGTGTGCAAGGGTGGGCCTGGACCGGGAGAGACACCGATGGACCAGAGAGGCATTCAGAGCCAGAGCTCCTAAGGGGCAAGGTGTACAGCACCCCTGGCAGGCTGTGTGGGGGAGGGGGCCCCACCACCTCTATGGCTGTGATAGCAAACAAGGGCAGGGAGGGCCCTTTCTGTCCCTACTCTGGGTGGGACGTGAAACCTACTTTGAGGACAGCACATGGTGGCCATCAGCTCTACCCGTGGCTAGGCCCTGGGAGGCTGTGTTTGGAGTGGCCATGACATCAGGACTGGGGTGGGGGCTGAGAGGGTGGCACAGCCACGTGGCTCAGGAGTGAGCTTCTGGAGCCAGCATAGCACATACCGTCCTGGAGCTCAATTTTCTACACATTGTGTACAAGGCCCCTGCCCACTGCCGTGAGCCCTGCAGCCCTCACCTTGCAATCCTTGAGGCCCTGGGCGGCCAGACTCCACAAATGCCTACAAAGAATAGGCCAGGACACTACTGAGGGACAGTGCTCTGGAAACCGAGGCACCACCACCCTCCAGGTCCCAAGCACAGAAGCCCCAGCAACTTCAAAGGACACACAGGCACCCCTCCCCCACAGAGGCTCAAGGAGGGAAGGAGGGTACAGGGATTTGGAATCAGGAGCCCTGGTCATGATGCACCTGTCCCTTGTGGTTACTCACCTTACCGAGCCTGGTGAAATGGGGCCTCCCACCTCAGCACCGAGGGTCAGGCCTTGGGTCAGTCCAGCCTGAGGCCAGACCAGGCCCACACTGCCCCCTCCCCAGAGTTCCCCTTCTCATTGCACCCAGGTGTGACCCACTAGACAGGCCCACCCTAGAGGCACCCTGGGATGGACATGAAAGCAAATGATGGGGAGGGTCATAGCTTCTCCGTGTGGGGAGCACGAGGAGGTGGACAGCAAGTGTAGAGCAGTGCACAGGTGACTTACGTTGTTGTCAAAGACGGGTGTCCCAGGAGGGCCTGGGGGCCCTGGAGGCCCTGGAGGGCCGGGCATGCCCTGTGGGATGGCAGACAGCTCTGGTCAGTCAGGACATTGGCCCAGGCCAGGATGGCAGATATGGGCAGAAACAGTTTTGCAAATCAGTAAAAGCAGGGAGCTGAATGCACTTGATGACGTAAACCAGTAATGCATTGCTGACTCTGGTCTGGGTTCCTGAGCATGGGGACTGGCTGCCCACTTACTGACCTCCGGAGGAAATATGGCCGCTGGACTGTGATTAACTGGGGTGCACATGGACGCACCCCTCCTGCCATCACTAATGGCAAACCTGGGGTGAGGAAGCGCAAACAGGTTTTGACTTGGGTGTGTACGAGTGAAGCTGGATTTTTGGTTCACTTTCTTATTTGAGGACAGAGCACAGGCAAATCCAGCAATACTGGAGGAGCATGCACTGAAGACCACACACTTCCTCCAGGAAGGGCCACCCATGCTGGCCACAAGGAGCCAGGAAAGCAGGCATGACCGGGGGCCTCTCTCCCTCACGAGCACCTCACAGCCCACCTGCCCTGGGACAGTTCCCCTGCAGCTCTGTGACCATGGCCAGGGACAGAGAAAGCAGGACCCCAGACCTGGACACACGGACTGCCCTAGGTCCCAGGGGCTGTGAGCATCTGCACACAATTTCTACTGCCCCGGGGGAAGGGGCTCAATCCTTACAAGGAAAACCGCCATTTAATCTGATCTTGAAAATCAAAACCAAGAACAAAAGTGAAGACCTGATCTTCTCCTTTTTGATAAATGCGTTCTGCCACTGTATCAATCCTTCAGAGCGCTGCCAAGTTTTGGCCACAAGAAGGAACGAAGCCCCATGAAAAACTGATGGCCTCAGAAGTGCGAGTTCCCTGAAACACTGTTCACATCAAGGAATCGGCCTGCAGGAGGCTGACCGCGTGGCCAGGAAGGAGCTCGGCTGGCACAGCCGTCCGGGGGAGTCCCTGAGTCTGGGGGCAGCTGCCGTGAGTGGAAAGGGGGGAGAGATGGCAGCAGCTCTAGGGAGAGTGGGGAATGAAAGCTACAATGTGGTGCTGGGAAGGAAGAGGCAGGGCGGCCCAGGACCCCCAGCACGTGCCCTGCTGAGGAAACCACAGGCTTCTCTGTTCCGGGTGGGTTTGGGTTATGTGTGCATGTGTGTGTACAAGTGCTGTGCTGTGTGCGTGCACTTGTGTAGGAGCACAAGACACCGTGTGGGTGTGAGGGTGTGCAAGCATGCCATGCACGTGTGCACGAGTATGAGCGTTTGCACGTGTGTTGTGCCCATGTAGGAGTGTATGTGTCAGCTTCTGCATGCCGTGGTCACACTGGCCACCCCAGAGCAGCCTCTGACAGATGAGCCAGGGCTCCCAGCCACCCTCGGAACACTCACCCTCATGCCGAAACTGAGGCTGGCATCTCCTGGTTCTCCCTTCTCTCCCTTCAATCCGTTCATCCCGGGGCGACCCTGGGGCACAGCATGGTGCTGGGCATTAGCAAACCTGTGTCCCCACACCCCAGCCCTCAGTGGCTCCTGATCAGCCCACCTGAGCCCCTCTCCTGCTCACGGACCCCTCTGGGCAAGGGGCAAGGGACCAGGCAGAACCCAGGCCCAGGCGCCTCTCCCTGCCCCAGGGCCTCTCGTGGGACCTCGGCTCCTCTTAGCCTCAGTGCCCCAGACGTGGTCCAGGACTCTCTCTGGCCAGGGGGATGAGAGCTGTGCTCAGGCGAAGGATGGTAGAATTGTGGCTATCCACTCCTTTCAGGGCCTGTCCCCAGAGCCCTGTCCCCCTGCCAGGCTCAACCTTGCTGCCCACAGGGCACAAAGCCTGACCAGATGTCCCAAGTCCTCACCGGCCGTCCAGGAAAGCCAATCTCTCCCTTGTGCCCAGGCCGTCCATACGGACCCTGCAGAGAGAAAGGGTGGGTTGAGGCTCCAGTGTGGGGACCAAGGCTGAGAGGGGTCACACAGGGCCAGGCCCACCCACCCACTGCAGCCTCTCCCAACCTTCCACACAGGTTTAAGGCTATAGTTGAGGTAAACACTGGGGCACGTGAGGTGACGAGGTGCTGTCAGACCATGGAACCCATGTGCTCGTGCAAAGGAAGGGGTCCTACTCACCGGGGGTCCTCGGAAACCTGGCTCTCCCTGAACAGAAAACGAGAGACACGGTCAGGTGGCTGAGGACCACCACCACCTCCCATGTGGACGCAGCGGGGTAGCACCACAGGCCACTGACCATGCCGGGGGAATGGGGCATCTGGATGGGGGTCTGTGTCTGGCCTGGGGCACAGATGGGGTGTGTCCTAGGCCCCGTGCACAAGGTGCCCTGGGTGAGTCACCAGGCCCTACTCACATAAACCTGCTAGGACACAGTTCTCAGCCCACGCCCAATGGTGCAGCTCTGGCTGCAGGCCTGAGACCTCATCCCCTGCAGCCTGACCAAACCCAGCTCTTTCTGGGCCCCTCCCCAGGGCCTGCTAGGGGGCATCTGCTGGGGTGGGGACCAGGACCCAGGCCTCTAAGCGACACCCCCCACCAGTTGTGCTTGGGCTCCTGCAGGGGCTGGCCACAGGAGGTATGCCAGGGTATGCTGCCCTTCTGTGCCAGCACTCCCAAAAGGGGCAGGCAGCCAGAAACCCACAGGTGGGGCCGCTCCTGCAGTGAGGCCAAGTGAGGGGCTGCTGCACTGGGGCTCAATTCCCCTGCTTTTCTGCAGTTGGACTCTGCCAGCAGGGAAAAGGGACAGGAGAACAATGGGGGCCAGCAGGGACATGCCCAGTAGGCTTCTGAGAGGTGGACAGAGGGAGGGCAAAAGGATACAGTCTACAGAATATTCTGCAACCTGTGAGAAGAGTCTGAGTGTGTCAGAAGCCTGCCCCTCTCTCAGAAGGGCAAACCCCTTTGCTGTCCCCACAATGTCGCAGAAACCCCACATCCATCTGGAAGGAAGGGGCCCTCACCTTCGCTCCTTTCTGGGTGGGGCCCAGAGCTCTGCCATCAGGGCTGAAGATGCTGCCAGGTTCCCCCTTCTCACCCTGGAACAGCAGGGGCAAGGGGCGGGGAATGGGCCAGGGCTTGAGGTAGCCCAGTGCCCCCCACAGACACCCCCAAACAGAAATATAGAGAGGATGGGCCTTGGCTTTCCAGAGGGAGCCTGGGACCGGGCCCCCTGATGGTTCTAGTGAAGGACTCCAGGCACAGTCAGGGCTTATGGGGGTGACTCATCCAAGCAGACAGCACCCCAGCCCCTTACCTTGGGCCCTGGGAAGCCTTGCTCGCCTTTGGAACCCAGGTCACCCTTTGGTCCGGCAGGACCCTGTAATGAAGAGCAGGCAGGAGTGAGGGCCCCTGAGCAGTGCACACTTGGTCCCCATGACCCCCCAGCCCCTCGGGGTCCTGACCGTTAGAGGACCCTAGGCACCCTCTCCCTGCTAACATCATGGTGCCCTCAAGAAAAACAATCGTCCCTGCCCCTTGGCTCTAATGAGGCCGACCCCAGCTCACAGGGCTGTCCCGAGCACACAAGGAGACCCGCAGTGACGGATGAGGCTACTTACGGGAAAGCCCGCGGATCCCGGCCTGCCCTGCGGAGAGAGGGACAGCGTCAGCTTTCAGGGTGACACTCCAAAGCCAGCTGCCGCCCAGACCCACAGCAAATTCCTCAGAAGAAAAGTGGCACGTACCTCAGGTCCAGCCACACGTGCGATTGCTCGCTGTCCCCAGGCAGGCGGAAACAAGAATCAGGGAGAAAGAAAGGAAAGCGACCTTCAAAATTAAATTCCCTTCTCACACATTACCGATGTAAAATCACAATTCCAAAGCAAGAGTTAAAACGAAAACTTCCAACTCTCCTCCTGGTTTTTGCCTCAAGATCCCCCGGGTGACAACTGAGCCCCTCCTGGGGAGCCCCCTCCTGGGGAGTCCCCTCCTGGGAAGCCCCCCATGGCACATGCCTCCAGCTTGGAGCAGCTCTGTGGCTGGGACGCAGGGTCGGTGCCACTTTACAGTCCCGAAAAGACAAGTCCCAAGTCCTTGCTTGCCATATGGGAGTGGCCCTGCCT